CGAGGAATCGGCTGTTTCCTAATCCGTGCTGGGGTAGGGGGGACTGTCTCCCGCCTGCACCATCGGTCCCCGTCACTCTTGACAGCATCTGTCATGGTTCCATTTGCGAACTAAGAAAACTTGAGTCCAGTGTTCTCTGTGGGGTCTCCCTCTGGAGACTGCCGGGGAGGCTGTCGGCGGGCGGGGTGGGGGGAGCGGTGCTTACCTGCTGGACACCCCATAGATGCTCACATCTCACCTGCAGGGAAGGTGCGCACGGTCACAGAGCTGCTCAGCTCTAGTCGCAGGGGGCGTGGGATCCTCTGACTTCCACAGACACTGCAGGGTGAGGTCACAGCTGCTAGAGTTCTTGTCCCATGTCACCCCAGCACCGTGCCATGGACCATGCCGAGGGTGACTGCTTGACCCTGAGGCTGCTTCCTCAGCGTGGCTTCTCGTCTTTTTACTTATGTAATTCTTATCAGTTTATTCAAGAAACAGAAACAAAACCCAGAATTAATCCTTGTAGAAAATGTAGGAGTAAGTTCTGCTTTCTGTTTTGTCTGTTAAGGGTTTGGGTTTCTTAGGATTCCTTGATTTGACGTCAACATCTGGAATGAATGTCAGCACCTAGTATTTAAGAGTGACCCTAGAAACACAGACTGGCTATAGTGATGCAAAGAAGCTGCCTAAGTATCTGACTTCGGATTTGCCTACTTCTCGATATAATTGTTGCAGACAGTGGACACCAGGCTGCCAGCGTGTGGCCCACCTGACGCCGGGGTGCTGTTCATCAGAGATTTTTGGCAAAAGGCCATTTTGTTTTGGTGAGGTCGTGAGTGTGAATTCGGAGGTCACTGGCCACTGGTCGCCGGCAGGTTGGGGCAGTTAATGATTGTCAGTAATGCTGAGTCTACATAAGAACCGTGTGCACACTTGGGTTTTTATCCGTCTGTGATTTATACGTGAAGTTTAGCAGCATTGGCCATTTCGTACTTATTTTTCACACATTGCCCATAAGGCTATTCTATGTGCTATGTTGGGGAAAAGGCACCGATTAAGGGCGTCAGAATTTTTATTCACCTCTGGGATTTTTCCTCCTGTCTTAGGTGCTGTGGCTTCTGAGTTTTGATGACGACAAAAATACTTTGGCAGATGCTGTCGACAAGTACTGCATCGGCGTGCCGCCCATCCAGTGGCTGGCCTGGATCCCCCAGCTGCTCACCTGCCTGGTTGGCTCTGAGGGAAAGCTGCTTTTGAACCTTATTAGCCAGGTGCGAATAACAAGGTCTCTTTGTTCACAAGAAAATTATGTCTTCATTTCACATTGTTTTTTTCTGGAAAGAAAGTGCATGCTCAAAATACTGAAAATAAGTGAAAGATAGGAAGATGTACACATTTAGACATCACTTGATCTGAAGCACAATTAGATGTGATCGAAGAATTAGGGGCACCTGGGTGGCTCAGTGTGTTAAGCATCCAAGTTCACTTCAGGTCATGATCTCGCAGTTTGTGAGTTCGAGCCCCGTGTCGGGCTCTGAGCTCCGTGCTGACAGCTCAGGGCCTGGAGCCTTCTTTAGATTCTGTGTCTCCCTCTCTCTCTGTCCCTCCCCTGCTCACTCGCTCGCTCGCTCTCAAAAAATAAAAGCCTTAAGAAAAAAAAAAAGAAGTGATTGAAGAATAGGTCAAGGTTGCAGTGAAATAATCCACTCGGTTGTTACGTGTTAAAATGCTAATTTTTTTGCTTGCGTATGATGCCACATAAAGATGCAGATGAAACAAGCATTCTCTTAAAATGTACAGTTACTAGTGATTACTCTGAAATACAGTGAAATGCGTATCTGATCGTAGCTGGTTTCCCATCATCGTGCCGGAACCCTTTGGAGCCTCCCTTCAAACTGAAGTCAGCATAATGGTAGCCTTGTCCCACCTCGTGCAGTTGTGCAGAGTGAAAGCTGTGTGCACTGGGGACGGGCTTTGGAGATGGGACACACTGGGGTCCTGTGGGCTTTCATGACCATTAGTTGAGATGATTTCAGATTGTCCCTCTTCTGTGAGAAGCCTGCTGGGTAGAGGAAGGACCCAGACAGTAGACGTTTGGAGACTGTTCTGTCTCATGTACAGTCCCCTTGACTGTGTTTCTTTCTGTAAAGTTAGCCCCGTGACTGACTTCATGAATGAAGTGGCTCCCAACTGAGCGTTTAGGAATATGACGCTCATCTGTCTTTACGTGAGATGCATCATCCACGTTGTACCCAGAAATGGTTTTACTTTTTCCCTCGAGAGACTGCAGCTATGTTTCTGGGTGCTGGCATTTTGCTTGACGTTTATCTGCTCGATTCAGTCTATTTGGTATTGTCCTCATTGAACATCTAGAGCTAGATGTCGTTGGTGTCTTCTGGGCACGTTTTGAAGAGTGTGAGTAACATGATAGTAGCTATTCAGACCTTTCGAAGAAGCCATAAAGCCCCAGTTTGGTAAGACTGGTGTTTCTTATCTTAAATAGAAAATTTTCAGCATCCTCCTTGCTGCCGTCACGTACAATAAAGTTCTTCACTAATGAACCTAATAGAATCGGTTCCCAGTGAATTGCCTAACATAAAGACTGACTGGTGTCATTTTGTGTTTCCCTGTTACTTACCCAAGTAGGATCCAGGGACCAGTGTGTTTTGCCCTCCTCAGATTTGCCAAATCAAACGAAAGTGGTTTCTCTGTCATTAACCATCTGTCCCTAGGCAGAACCAGTTGGGCACCATGTTGATCTCTCTCAGATCTTTCGAGGGAAACTAGGTATTTTACCTGCTGTTTAATCCGAACTCGTGTATTAGCTCAGTGGTGTAGTATTTTGCCTCCTTGGTCCAGATGCAGACCCCCGCCCATTTATGAACGACAAGTTATTTTCCATACAAATTGTCCTCATCTAGAAGCACAGTGGTGAGCAGTGCTCTTTGTGCTCCGTGTCTCTGAGCAGGTTGGACGCGTGTATCCCCAGGCGGTCTACTTTCCCATCCGGACCCTGTACCTGACCCTGAAAATAGAGCAGCGGGAACGCTACAAGAGCGGTATGTCTCGGGCGGGGCCAGCTGGCCAGACCGAGGAGGGCTCATTGCATGGGGGCATTCCATGTGCCGACGGCTGCGGACACGCTCCCGCCCTCAGCCTGTCTGTCTCTAGCCAGTGAGAGGACACTTCGGGGCTGGGAGGCAAAACCTGATCACTGAGGGAAGTCAGTGGTTTGCCGTTGCTGTGGTTTAATAGGGTTTGTTTACCTGAGTGATTTGGTCCATAAGTAGAAAAAAACATATGAAATTTTTACCTCAAATTGTAAAGTTCAGTAATGTGTCCTGGTAAGCAATGTAAGTGTCACCTACTATACGTGTCCTTTATAAGAAATATCTTCTGCTGTCAGAAGAATCCGCATAGAAATCAGTCTTACCAGATGTGAAAATTTACTCAAACCAGAAGGGTTTTAATCCATATTGAACAGTACTCGTATGTTAATAACTTACTAATGGTTTCAGTTGCCCACTGCACATGGTACTGTGTGAGCAGTTGAAGCCCCTTTGCTTCAGGACGTTTTTAACACCCGGTGGTTTATGCTGCAAGGCCAGAGACTATTTAAAAAGGTGACCTGACCCACTGGGCACGTTTGCACCCCCAGCTGATGAGCTGGGTGAGCCAGGGACTGCACGCACGTCTCTGTGCTGGCCTCACGGCCACCACATCCAGGTGGATGTGTGGTTTGGTCGTTTGAAAATTAAGGCTTTTTTCTTCTGACTGAGCCGAAGCTAGAAAAACGGGCCTTGGGTTCTACGACGTATTTCTCACATGGCAGATGACTGTATTTTTTAAAAATACGTTTTTAACGTACATGGTCTGGCTTTCCTCAATGAGAACATGGAGACTTGCCCATTAAGTACGTTCAGATTCCCTGAGCTGTCTGCAAGGAATGTGAAGAATTTTTTTCCAAACATTTAAGAAATGCTCAAACTTTGAGCAAAGTTAAAAAGGAGAGGACCACGAACACTCATGCACCCTCACCTCACTTCACCGCTCAGCACACGGGCCTGTTCGCTTTCCGCCGACACATTGGAGGCCAGGCTGTAGGCAGTGGCGTTCTGTGGGCCTGAGTCCCTCGGTGCACCTCTCTGCGGAGCTGGGGCGGCTCCCACCCAGCCCCTGGGGAGCCGGCTGTTGTGATGTGCTAACACGCCGGCAGGAACAGCGTTGCTTTGGCCGATGGGTCCTCTAGAGCACCGAGCTCTCGCATCGGGCCAGTTTTGCGCTGACATTGGCGTTGTGTGTGTTGCTCTCAGATTCTGGACAGCAGCAGCCAAGTTCAGTGGGTAACCAGTCCCATTCTGCATCAGATCCAGGGCCCATAAGAGCAACAGCACCAATGTGGCGCTGCAGCCGAATCATGCACATGCAGCGAGAACTGCACCCAACACTTCTGTCTTCCCTGGAAGGCATCGTCGATCAGATGGTCTGGTTCAGAGAAAACTGGCACGAAGAGGTACGTGCAGAGAACCCATCGTCCCGTGTGCTTTGGGCCGTGTTGCCTTCAGGTTGGGTGCCTGCTCATTTATGTCTGTGTTGTCGAATCGAACAGTAGAGTAAGCAGATAGTTAATGTTTGCGCACTAATGCAGCCCCAAATATTTGAAGCAGGAAACTTGAGAAGGAGGTGAAATTGAGAAAGTTCCGCTGGCCTTGACGTGCTTATTACTGTGCTCAATTAAGTATCACTTAGCAGCAGTTACCCGGGCCGCGGTGGTGGTGGGTGTGCGCTGGGTGCAGGTGTAGGTAGCAGAGGTGGAGTTGGTCCTCCAGTGAGCTTTTCCACAGCCAGGCCCTCTCCTTAGTGGTGTTAGCAGTGCAAGCTGATGACAGAGTGATGAGCCCTGTTGTCTAGATGTTCATCTTGTTGGCCCAGAGGCCCCTTGTTACTATTACCTTATGTGTGTGTCAGACACGCAGCAGTAACTTCAGAACTAGCTGCATAGAAAGGGTTTTCCAACAACAGAAGGGTATGTGTGTGACCCAAAATGTGGAGTTTTGGTTTGGGTTTTTTTCTTTCTCTCTCTCTCTTTTTTTTTTTTTAATGTTCAAGACACTTAGTCCCCATCATTAAAAACTCAGCTGACACTGTGGAGTGCACAGACGTTCTGTCCCTTCTGTGCTGTCTGATTTTACACGTGCTGTGTGCCGGGAGGCGGCGGTGGGACCTGCCAAGCAGGTGCCGTGTGGTTGGTTAGCCGCTTGAATTGGGAGCTCTGTTTTGTGCATTGTCTTGGGTCTCTTTCCACTAGGTTCTCAGGCAGCTCCAGCAGGGCCTGGCGAAATGTTACTCTGTTGCATTTGAGAAAAGCGGAGCGGTGTCGGATGCCAAAATTACCCCCCACACTCTAAATTTTGTCAAGAAGTTGGTGAGCACGTTCGGAGTGGGCCTAGAGAACGTGTCCAATGTCTCGACCATGTTCTCCAGCGCGGCCTCTGAGTCCCTGGCCAGGCGGGCACAGGCCACTGCCCAGGACCCTGTCTTCCAGAAGCTAAAGGGCCAGTTCACAACCGGTGAGTCCCTTCCCTATACCTACAGAGAGTTCCACTTGGCTGCTCTTGGTCTGTCTTTAACATCTCAGCCAGCTAGTTCCTTGTTTTCGTGAACACTCTACTGGGTGAGCTGGCAGCACTCTGTTTAAAATGTAGCCTCAGGTCACAAGGTCACAAGGTCACGGTGACTCTTGCCAGCCTGTGGTTGCCCGTCCTTCTCTGAAGTGAAGGGTTAAGGTTTGGAACCAGGCTCCGCCTGAGGGATGGAGGGCGTAGGGAAGAGGAGGGTTTCAGGCTAAACCCGCCCTCCCCTACCCCCCCCCCCCACACTTGGTTTTTGTAGGAAAATTGAACAGTGTGAGGTGAGGCAGTGGGCTCAAGGTGACAAGTAGTGCTCAGAGTCATAGTGGATTCAGGTGGCAGAATGACCAGGAGGTCGTATCATCATCAATTGTCCCTGGTTTGGGTCCAGGCCTTTTCCGAGAGCCCCAGGAGTATGAACCTTGGCTCCAGCCTGGTGTGGTCGAAGGCGAGCAGGTCCGATCTCCCGGGGCCTCAGTCTTCATCTGCCAGACGGGGGCCCTGGTTCCCACAGCGTGTGTGCACAGGGGCCGACCGTGTCCCCCACACAGGCTATCTTGCCACCTGTGTCCTGCCACCACCCTGCCAACCTGCCCACCCTCTGGCGGAGGAGCCCAGGCGAGCACCGGGGCTCAGTGCGTCTAAAGTATCTTTAACAACTCACGTCACAGAGAACACGGCTAGAAACCTGTGCTGTGTAGACTCTGTTGAAATCACATAAAAGAAAATATGTCCCACTAATTACACAGGATGCTTTGCAGCTACAGCCATGACTTACTTTTGATCCATCCAGGATAGGGTGTGTCCTGCCATCATCCCAGGCAGCCTGGGGCCCCCGGGTGTCTTCCCCTGCTTTGTGAGCTGGGCATTAAAGGTAACACTGGACTCGCCTTAAGGTCGAGGGTCTTCCCCTGCCGATCCCACACCTTGAAGAAGATGCTCTTTGAGCAATAAAATATGAGCTTTTCATATCTTTTACCCTGAAGCACTTTGGTCACCTTAGATTATTTTCCTTGTGATGTTCACATGACATGCTGTCAGTCTTTCCTGAAAAAGGAAAAGTCTGAGGTGAATTTTGTGGAGACTGTCGTATTTTACTTAAAAAATAGGACATTAAGTCTTTTTTTTTAAGTTTATTTTTGAAAGAGAGAGAGAACACAAGTGAGGGAGGGGCAAAAAGAGAGAGGGAGAGAGAATCCCAAGCAGGCTCCACACTCGGCGCAGACAGAGCCCAATGTGGGGCTCGAACTCACAAACCGTGAGATCATGACCTGAGCCAAAATCAGGAATTGGATGCTTAACCAACTGAGACACCCAGGTGCCCCTGTTTAGTATGTCTTTACCTTAAAATGTCCGCTGGTTAAATCAAATGTCATCTGAAACAACATTCAGAGGGAGACAAGTCATTTGGGTGTCGACACAAAAAAAATTTTAAAAACTGAACTGTGAGAGACGACCGCCGTGAGGCTCTGACCCTCTTCCAAGTGTGGGCGTTTCAGATACTTCACTCCGAGCTCTGCATCCCCTCTGGTCACCCGTTCCCAGGAAGGGCCGTCTCTGGGTCCAAGCACCACCTTCTAGTTCCCACAAGGGAGCTAGAGTTGCCCACTCCCGTCCTCGGCCAGTATTGCACGTGCTGGCTGCTACCTAACCCAGTGAGGAGGTGGGAGAAAGCTCAAAAACAGGTCAGATTTATCCCAGAGAATGAAGACTTCTTTCCCTGCACGAACTCGTCCATGAATGTCACAGCCATTTTGTTTGCAGTGGCACCAAACGGAATAAGAATGGGGAGTGTGTGATGCATCCGTGCTCGCTTAAGATTGACAGAATGGAGTTAGCCATTGATTGAGTGACTTGGACGAGCCTTGGGTTATGCCGAGTGTGAAAAGCCAATTCAAAGGGATGCCTGCCGAGGGGCGCCTGGGTGGCGCAGTCGGTTAAGCGTCCGACTTCAGCCAGGTCACGATCACGCGGTCCGTGAGTTCGAGCCCCGCGTCAGGCTCTGGGCTGATGGCTCAGAGCCTGGAGCCTGTTTCCGATTCTGTGTCCCCCTCTCTCTCTGCCCCTCCCCCATTCATGCTCTGTCTCTCTCCCAAAAATTAAAAAATTAAAAAAAAAAAAAACGTTGAAAAAAAACAAAGGGATGCCTGCCGAGAGATTGTTACGAAGCGTTTGTGAAATCACATAATAACGGGGGTGGAGAGCGGGTCGGTGGCCAGGTGTTCAGATTCAGGGTGAAGGTGGGCGTGGCCACAGGGCTGACCCAGGGGGGTCTGTGGATTGCGGTGCTTCTGGGTGTTCGGAGGCTGGGTTTGCATTTGGACAGCCGCAGCCCCTCTGGTGCCTTTGGGCCGCCCGTGTAGGTGTCGATGGGGCCCTCACCGGGCACATCGGTTACCCCCGATCGCCTTCCTGCATCGGTCCAGCCTGCAGCACCCTGGTAGGGGAGGCAGGTTGGATAGGGGACCGGGGTCTGGGCTGGGCGTGCCTCTCAGGACTGCACCAGGTTCACCCCGCACGACCTAACTCTGCAGAAGAGCGTTTGCAAGAGGCTCCGGAGAGCCCTTCAGCTTGAGTGCAGAGGTCACCCTGCCATATCACAGATCCTGGTCCTGTCGGCACGAGGATGGTGGCTCCCTCGGGGTCTGTTTCCCACAGAAATGGTGCGGCTTATCCTGATGTTGGTCTCCTGCGAGCGAGAGTCACGTGCAGCCCCTCCCACCAGTGGCGCTCATCAGTGTGGGGTTGAGGTCTTTTTTGAAGACGGACTTTTCAGTTTAATTGCCTTTTCAGTACTGAGTCTCAGTAAAATCTGAGGAACACAGTCATCTGGGATTTTTATTTGTTTAAATATAAAATGCATGCTTTCCATGTTTGGCACTTTAGTTTCTTGTCTAAATGTCTTCTGATGAACCGGTTTATAACCTAGCGTTTGCCTGGATTGGATTACTGCCTTGGCCCCTCACTGTGGTGGTTGCTCTCAGGTGGGGCTGCCGGCCCCCTGGGTTCCCGTGCCCCTCAGGGTGCTCCCCGCATCCTTTCCTGAAGGAACCTGTGACCGTTGGAGCTGAGGCTTCCTGTCGGCGCTCCATGTGTTCCCTCCTCCAGTGCTGGGGGGAGACCGGTCCCACCTGAGGGTCCCCATCACTCGGTCAGTCTTCAGCTTACACTTTAAAGAGTGGGAGAGGCAAAAATGCTTTGCTCCAGGTTAGGTATAGAGTAAAACATTCCTGCTTCCTCTCTGGGACGCTCTTGAGCGTGATTTTGTAGTGAAGTCCGGGTCACCCCAGATGACTAAAAATGTTTTTAATTACATTTTATTTTGAAGATTTTGACTTCAGCGTTCCAGGATCCATGAAGCTACATAATCTTATCTCTAAGTTGAAAAAGTGGATCAAAATCCTGGAGGCTAAAACCAAGCAGCTTCCAAAGTTCTTCCTCATAGAAGAAAAGTGCCGGTTTTTGAGCAATTTCTCAGCACAGACCGCTGAAGTAGAAATTCCAGGGGAATTTCTGATGCCAAAGCCGACACATTATTACATCAAGATTGCTAGGTAAGTGAGCCGCTCAACTGGCCTCAGGGCAGACCTGGGGCTGCCGTTCTGGTTCCTTCTGGCCCCTGAAGTGGGAGAACGAGAGATTGTTCTCTGATCTGAGCCATCAAGCACGGTAGAGGGTTCTGGTCAAACTGATGGGGTAAATGTCTTCCTTGTGTCCCCTTTGTGTTTCTTTTGTTTCTAAAAGGCTCTTTTCTAATTTCCACAGAACTGGACGTGATAGAAAGGTTATCGGTCTGTAAAACTTTTAAAGCTTAGTAGTCAAAGCAGAATTGGGCAATTATACAATTCATTAGTGTGTATACTGTATCTTATTTTAAACGTAGAAGGTGTGGTAACAAATGGTCGTAATCAGACCCGGAGCTCTGCTCTCTCATGCATCTGGACTTGGATTTCCCAGTCCTCCAAATCTGACTCCTCTTCCGGCCGCCCACCCTGCTCCTCGTCTTCCGTCCGTAGCCAGGGCGCACGGGAGGGAGGTGAGGGCAAGGGTGTGTCCATCCTCAGCCTGCTCCTGGGGCAGCTGCTCCCCATGGCCCCTGTGCCAGACCGTCCTGTCCCCCGGCTCTGTGGCTGGGTGCTCAGAGCCCAGTCAGCTGCCCATCTGGAGCTCCTGAAGTCGGAGCCCGGGGCCCGATTGTTTTACGACGACAGCATCATCTACTCTTCCGCCTTTTGAGTTTCCCTGTGTCAAGATGTCTTCCCCCACGTCATAAAATCCCGTCGTACCATTTAAACCTGGTCAGAGTGACCTCTCTAGCTGCGCGTTCTGTCTTTTTGTGATGATTCCGAGTGCTGTCTTTGTAAAGTTCCCTTTTCTTCTCAAAGAGGATTGGAAGTCGAGCCTCAGGAAGGGGAGTTGGTGTTTCATCGTGTGCTTGTTTGGGCAGGTTTATGCCCAGGGTGGAAATTGTGCAGAAGCACAACACGGCAGCCAGGAGACTGTACATCCGTGGGCACAACGGCAAGATCTACCCGTACCTCGTCATGAACGACGCCTGCCTGACGGAGTCCCGGCGAGAGGAGCGCGTCCTGCAGCTGCTCCGGCTGCTGAACCCCTGTTTGGAGAAGAGAAAGGAAACCACAAAGAGGCACTTATTTTTCACAGGTATGACAGGTGCGCTTTGGGGGCACACAGCCGGTCCCGTTAGCCTTTGCGGATTTTCCCGCGTGCCATCTGGGGAACTGAGAATACCCTGAAGCTCACCAAGCAGGGAGGGTTCTGGAATGAGGACCCTGTGCCGTGAAGAAGCCGCTCCCTTCTCACTGCAAGACGGGTGCTCTGATGAGTGTTTGGGAAAGGGGGGTGCCTGCCTGTGTGCGCTGCTGGTTTCCCTCGCCCGGAACCCGTGCTCTGGGGAAACGTGCGCTGGCACTGGGCCTGTCGTGGGCGTGTTAGCAGCGTGTTGTGAGTGTGTTTAAGTGCGGTCTTCAAACGACTCCTGGAACTCACAGTGCACTGCACGGCCCCTGCTGGAGCGAGCCTTCGTGGAGTGAAATGCAGTGCAAGGGAAAGTCAGCAAGGCCTGTGAACGCCACAGAAATCGTGACCAGGTGGCCACCAGCAGCCTCCGAGTAAGGCCTTTCCATACGTAGTTGTCCTGGGTGGTTCATGAGTGAGCCGTTTCTGTCTGTAACGGGCAGAGATGAGATGCCTGTGATCCCGCTTAGAGAAGAGAACCACGGTCAAAACATTTTAGCATCTAACCTCTGAGGTTGGGAGCCTACTGCAATGCATATTAGCCAGTCCCATAGGGAACTTTCTTCTGATGGCTAAGAATCCAACCCGTTCTGACTTAAAATCTTTCACCCTAAAGTTCACTATCCCCCAAATAAGTCAATTGAGGAACTAGAGTATACAGAAAACTGTATGCATTTTAACATGCACATGATGTGATCTGTAGTGTTGATTACATCTGTGGGTAATAGATGATTCTTTGTCTTTTCCAAAGAAACAACCTCTTGGTCAGCACCAAATGACAGTCCAAATACATGCCCTCGAGTCACTGTGGGATGTCTTTATGGGTTGAAACCATGGAACAAGCCAGTAGCTGTGGTTTGACTGAGCTTAGACCAAATTAAACCTATGTTCGTTAAAAGTAAGAGGCGTGTGTGTGTGTGTGTGTGTGTGTGTATTTGGAGGGGGAGGGTGTGTTTGTGTACACGTACCACGCTGACACTCAGGGCAGGCGCAAGCGGTTATTGTGGCCTAGGGACAGGCTGGTGCAGATACTGGGTCATAGCTCCCACTCCCTCCCCACCCCCGCAGCACCAGTGCGGCTGCTGCCATGACCCTGTGCTGGCACGCTTCGTTTGCTATCTTCTGGAAATTACTCAGCTTTCTACAAAATATCTTCAACAAAATGTCTTAAGGAGCACCTGGCTAGCTGAGTCAGTAGAGTATGTGACTCTCGATCACAGGGTTGTGAGTTCAAGCTCCACGTTGAGCATAGAGCTTGCTTTAAAAAAAAAAAAAAAAAAAAAAAAAAAAAAAAAAAGTTTTAATATTTCTTTGATCTAATATCTTTTTTAACTTTTTTTTAACTTTTTTTTTTAACATTTGTTCATTTTTAGTATATGTGCTGCCGAAGCGAGCACACATTTGTTCGTTTTTGAAAGAGAGAGAGCACGCACAAGCCGGAGAGGGGCAGAGATAAAGGGAGACACAGGACTCAACGCAGGCTCCAGTCTCCGAGCTGTCAGTGCAGAGCCTGATGCGGGGCTTGAACTCAGGAACTGTGAGATTATGACCTGAGCTGAAGTCGGACACTTAACTGACTGAGCCACCCAGGTGCCCCATTGATCTAATATCTTTAAAGCGTTATTTAATCTACCAGCAACCCATGGGTACATATTGTAGTCCCATTTATAAAGGAAGAAACTGAAGTTCATACAAGTCCAGTGACCATTCCCAAGGTCACGTCACTGGGAAAACAGCCCTCGGGATGTGAGTGTGGACAGTCTGGCTCCAGGGCAGCCATACCCAACACTTTCTGCTTGAGTGTGGTCATGACGTGGGTTATCCTCATGTGGGGTGAATTGCTTCATAAAGAGTGCCCATCACTGCCCATACAGCTCCACAAAGTGACTGGGCAGAATGACCAGGTTGGTTCTGGAAACTTATCTGAGGCACAGAAAACGATGTGAGGGATCGTTTTCCTGATTTCCTGAAGACGGGGCCCAGCCATCCCCGACGCCGGAAGACCGCCTGACAAAATCACACTCCTGCCTCGGAGTGAGTGGGAGGATTGATTTCTCCTGACAGGGTGCCGATGGAGGAGGACCCCTGAAGAGTGGACGAGGTTGGCAGTCTCCGATTTTTAAAGATTGCTTTCTAAAGAATTTCTGTTCATCTGTGTCTTAAGCAAAAGGGGCTGGCGGCTCAGGCTCCGTCGCTCAGCAGATTGGGCTTCATGCCACGTGCTGAGTGGGTACGCAGCGTGCGACTTCCAGCTTTCCCCCGACCCCGGTCCTCTGCTCGTGAAGGGCCGAGTGATCTCCTCCCTAGGCGGCCCTGGAGGTGGAGTCGAGCGCTGCCCCCTGGCGTTGTCTCGGTCATTTCCTCCTTTCTCCTCAGTTCCTCGAGTTGTGGCGGTGTCCCCTCAGATGCGCCTCGTGGAGGACAACCCCTCTTCTCTTTCCCTCGTGGAGATCTACAAGCAGCGCTGCGCGAAGAAGGGCATCGAGCACGACAACCCCATCTCCCGCTACTATGACAGACTGGCCACGGTGCAGGCACGCGGGACCCAGGCCAGCCACCAGGTACCGAATCGGGCCAGCCGCGCTCTGTGGCGGAGCTCCCCCGACACGAGCGCTTAGAGGAGTAGCAGGCGGTTGAGAGGGACCTTTCTCCCTCATTAGACCTGTGAGTGGTCAGAATTAGGCGACCATGGCCCCTGATGTGGTGACGTTTGCTGCAGAATAACTTGACGGCAAACTCTTCTGGCAGCCAGACCTGCTCTGAGGGACATGAGGCTGCTTATCCAGTCCGTGTTCGCTCTCCTCTGGTTTGCGGCCGGGGCCAGAGTGAACCACGGCCTCTGTGTTGTGTATGCTTTTTAAAATGTGGAAAGTGGCGAGCCCTGAAACGAGTCAGGCTCAGTTGTTTTGGTCGCCTGGTGTGGGAGCACAGTGCCTCCCACGGGAGTCCCGCGCGGCTTTGGCCTCGTCAGGTGGGTGGAGGGCCGTCCCCACCAGCAGATTCCTGCCCTTGCTAGAAAGCAGGGCAGGTGGGAGTCTGGGTGAGGAGGTTTTGTGCGGGATTGTGTGCATCACCAGAAGGTAGCTCTATCTTGGCCTGCTCCCCCAAAGCCACTGTGGTCCTTCCTGTGGCTCCCGAGAGGGCCTCGTGATTTTTAGGAGAGATGCCACGAAGCTGGAAGCTCTGATCTTGCTTCCATCCTCCCAGGGACTCACTTCAGTTAGCCTGGGACCTGGAAGACTGTTTCTAGGAAGATGGAGCCCACAGGGTGCTTGCCTCAGCTGCCTGGGCAGTGCTCAAGGTACAGGCAGGGCCTGAGGCGGTCCGGGCCTCGGGCTCTGTTGCAAGCCTCCTACCTTTGTGCAGGCAAAACGAGTGGAACCCGTCTGTTGTTGGGTGTCTGTGGACAGAGCTCGTGGCCTCCCTTGGGAATTGGTGTCAGGGCTTCATCAGGGTGCAGGTGACTGCCTGGTCACTCTGTGGACCGAGGACAGTACTGAGGTGTTTGTGCAAGATGAATGGATTCTATTCTTAAGACTGCATTTATTTGTCTTTGACATTATGGAAACTGATGACCTCTATCTGCAAATACATATTTACATGAGGTTCCATGTGTTTTACAAACTATTTGTGTGATACTGTTTATTCTGAGAGAGAGCGAGAGAGCACATGTGAGTAGGGGAGGAGGACAGAGAATCCCAAGCAGGCTCTATGCTGTCAGCACAGAGCCACACCCAGGGCTTGATCCCAGGAACCATGAGATCACGACCTGAGCCAAAATCAAGTCAGACACTCAACTGACTGAGCCACCCAGGCACCCCTGAAAATTCACCCTTTAAAATGTTCAATTCAGTGTTTCCGGCATATTCACAGAGTTGTGCAGTCATGACCACAATTTGTCTTTAAAACAGTTGAGGGGCGCCTGGGTGGCTCAGTTGGTTAAGCACCTGACTTTTGATTTCGCCTCAGGTCATGATCTCATAGTCGTGAAATTGAACCCTGCTTCGGTATCAGTAGTTTGTTCCTTTCTATTGCTTAATAATAGTCCCTTGTATGACTATATCACATGTAATTGATCCATTCATCAGTTGGTAGACTTTTGGATTGTTGATACTTTTTGACTTATGGCCAGTGCTAAGGACTGTAAGCATTTGTGTATATATTTTTACATGGACATATGTTTTCATTTCTCTTCGATACATACCTAGGAGTAGAATTGATTGGTCACGTGGTAAGTTTTATGTCTATTACGTGAACTCCCAGACTATTTTCCCAGGTGATTGCAGTGTATTCTTGTCTACAGTTATTATCTCTTTTTCTTATAGTCATTCTCATTCATTTTGGTTGATAACAAGTGATGTTGAGCAACTTTTCGTGTGCTAATTGGCTGTTTGCATATTTTCTTTGGAGAAATGTTTATTAAAGCCTTCTGCTTATTTTTAAATTGTATGATTTGTTTTTTTTTGTTTTTGATGCTGAGAATTCTTTGTATGTTCTGGATGCAAGTGACTTGATACGAGTGGTTTCACTTTATTTCCTATGTATTGGCTATGTTTTCCTGAGCCTTCATTTATCTCGTTTTTGTTGAAAACTGGACATTTTTAATAATATATGTTAACTCTAGAAATCAGATCCTTTTCCCTAAGGTTTGTTATTGTTGTTGTTTGCTTAGTGACTTTCCTGGACTGATTTGTAAATTCTCTGTTTTTGCCATGTGCAGCCATTGAAGTCTCTGCTCATTTAGCTAATGATTTGACAGATTTTCTTAAATGCTTTGAACCAAGAAGTCTTCCTTCCGCCTTTTTTGAGGGCCTCTATGGGGGGAAGGGGATGCCTTCCACTTGGCCAAGTAGTTTATGTTCTGCCTTAGCTTCTACTTCCTGTTTGTGCAGATCAAGGTCAACCAGAAGTGGAAGCATTGGGCTTTCTGAGGTTTTTCGTGACCTTCTAGTGACCTTCTAGATTCTCAAGAATATATCGAGGCTTTTCGAAGCCTCCTGTGGTCATCGTACTCCCTCACTCTTCCTCTCGTCTGCCATCATCTTCTGTGCTGCAGCTGGTATCGCTGCCTTGGGCATCTGCAAGGTGACGTGGTCGTCACTGACTGCTTTCAGCAAACGCCTGTCGGATAGGGTGCTCCTCACTGGCTGAACTCGAAGTTCGATCAGAGACAAGCCCAATAAATGGGGCTTCCCCCTCCCCCTAGCCCCACCCCCCACCCACAGGAAGCTGCCAGATAAGTCAAATAGTGGCACTTCTCTGGAGATGAGGTTTTTGAACGCATTTTGCCCACTCCTGGCTGCTGGTTTCTACAGCTGTCATGGTCGCAAAGCCACTGTGGAGCTGGGTAGATGGGAATGGTATAATTAAACTGCCACAAAGATCACTGTCACCAAGATTCAGCCTTTTTTTTCCCCTTGAGTAAAAGCTACTCAGATTGTCGTAATAAGCCTTTAATTTCCAGAATTTAAAAAAGTTTTCCAGGGGCGCCTGGATGGCTCAGTCGGTTAAACGTCTGACTTCGGCTCAGGTCATGATCTCATGGTCCATGAGTTCGAGCCCCGGGTCAGGCTCTATGCTGACAGCTCAGAGCCCACAGCCTGCTTCGAATTAAGTTTCTGATGTTTGCTAATGTTCTCGATGGTGTTTGTGGTTCTTGGTTGCTTAGGGCCTGCATTTTAGTGGTAGTCAGAGCCCATAGGTAGGACTTAGCCCAGAACGGACCTGTGCGTTTACCATTTGGTCTAACAGGAACGGAATTAACTCGGCAGACTTTTTATTGAGACTGTCTCTGAATTAGTGGTGTTTGAAATAGTGTTGTGAGTCCTCCAGCACAGAATTCACTTTAAAGTGTTGTGTAACATCTGCTCTACTTTGATAGACTAGCTCCTTCAGTTATACACCTTTCGTCTTTAATAGTCCAAGGTGTGAATTGTTGTCATCCAACTATTTGTTCTTTTTGTTAACCGGCCTAGCGTTTTCTCTGGTTAGCAGGTTACGGTATTCAGATTTTGCCTAAATTCTTGGCAGGACAGATATCACGCATCATGCTCGTAAGGCTTTTATTCAGATTGGCGGTGGTGTTGGTTTGAGCATACGGTGTGAAGCCCTAGAGGGAAATTGACATCCCGGTGTTTGGTCAGACAACATCACATACGTATTTCTCAATAGAATTCATTCTGTTGGTGCCAAGTAAGTACAAACCTACAATTGGAGAGTTTTCCTTTTGGGGAAAAAAAAAAAACGAGCGAATTGGAGGGAGGTATCATGGGGTGATCTGTCCTTGCAGGTCCTTCGAGACATCCTCAAGGAGGTTCAGAGCAACATGGTACCACGCAGCATGCTCAAGGAGTGGGCTCTGCACACGTTCCCCAACGCCACGGACTACTGGACGTTCCGGAAGATGTTCACCATCCAGCTCGCCCTGATTGGCTTTGCAGAGTTCGTCTTGCATTTAAATAGACTCAACCCCGAGATGTTACAGATCGCTCAGGTAAAGGGTGTGAGGAGACGGCGCCTCTCCCCAGACCTCTCTGCTGTGTGGTTTCAGTTCCACAAGTGTCTCCTTCTGGTGTTTAGGACACAGGCAAACTGAACGTGGCCTATTTCCGATTTGATATAAACGACGCGACCGGGGACTTAGATGCCAACCGTCCCGTCCCTTTCCGCCTCACCCCCAACATTTCCGAGTTTCTGACCACCATCGGCGTCTCCGGCCCATTGACAGCCTCCATGATCGCTGTCGCCCGGTGCTTCGCCCAGCCCAACTTCAAGGTAGGCCACGGTGGCTGGTGTGGCGCGGCTGGGGTCACTTGTATGCACGCGGCCTCACAGCTGCCGGTCTGCCAGTACGGAGGGAGAGTGTTGCGGCTGCACAGTTAAAGCTTCTGCATTTTGGAAAAAGCATTTCAAGTTTTTCCTGTCTCAAAGCACTTAAAAAAGGAGTCAGAAGCCTCTACTGATCATTTTCCCAACTATCACTGTTGCTTGCCGGTTTCGTTTATTCCATTTGGTATCCGTTTTGTGTTTATGTAGATCTTTCTTCTCTTAAAGGGCAGAAATACTGTCTGTAGGGTTGTGCCGTCTTCCTGGCACCGCGGTTATGGGTCCTAGAGGACAGTCGTGGCGGTAGGACATGCGACGGCCGCCCCGGCCACAGGCGGGTGTGGGATGGCGCTGCCCTCCTCTCGGCGCCGTCCCTGCCCAGCACCACACCGGCTGCTTCGGTGGCCTCTCCTCACACTCTCTCAGCGGTTGTCCAGCTGGCGGGCAAGGTGGGCAGCTCAGAGCTCGTGCCGCCGGCAGAGGGCAGACTGGGATTCGAATCCAGTTCCCACTGACTCCAAGCCCGTCTTCACCGCAGTTATTCTCTCCTCACAGTTGGGGGCTGAACGCAACTTATTTTTCTTCTAGCTTAGGAGACGGGTTGTACCTTTTTTCCCACAGATGAGCAGTTTGTGTCTAGAGACGCCTGCAGATACCAGTTGCTTTTCCAAAACATTTGCTCAGGACAGTTGTAAGATTATCAGCTAAATGCGTAACTGTGAAGACAGACTTTTTACATCAAACACATCTTGTGCTTTCAGTGCTCGCTTGTCTGTTAGCGAGGAGTGCTTTCTGGAACAGGAGTACGAACAGGGGGAAAAGCAGCCCTGTGGCTCTTCCATGAGTGAGTGGTCTGTGCTGTGACCATCACTTAGCCGGGGCGTAAGGCTTGGAACAGCAAGTCCTCACTTAGAAATGTTATGCTTCTGGAAACATCATAGGGCATTTACTTTGAAACTGGCATTTACTTTGAAAACCTTAGAACAACGAAGGAAGCACTACCCGTATCTCAGGGGCCTGGTACAATGTGGAGTGGCACCGTGCGTTGTTCCTTGTGTAGACGGTGCTGGCCAAGATGAGGAGGAGTCGGGCCACCTTCTCCAAACTCTGGACCCAGATTTCTTACCAGCCTAAATGTAGAGGATGCTTTTAAGTTCACTAAAACATAGACCATTTTGTACAGGAGTGTCTTTTAAAAACACATCTGGGAGGCTCTCTTACTATGCCCAGTATATAAACAGGGAAATTGAGACACAGTGGGCTAAGTAAATCGATCAAGGTCACCCAGGCAAGAAGGTGGAGCTGGGGCTAGAACCTGAGTCTGTGCCGTGGCCACACGGAGGCCCGGGGATGGCCCTCCTTGACGTGAGACACCTGTCCCGTGACACCCACTTGATTCCTTCCACCCAAATGTGATCTTGTCACCAGCCCCCACCCCCGGCAAACCCCTCTGAGCCCGCCTTACCTGCTGTTTCTGCACAGTGCCCGTCACCACCGGGCATGTTGAACATTTCTCTGTTAGTACCAGAGCCCCATAAGGGCAAGGGGTGTTCACTCTAAGCTTCGGTGCTGGGAACGGGCCTGCCCAACCAAGCCCCTGTCAGGTGTGCAGGTGCTCATTTAAACGCTCGGCACCAGGAAGCAGCGTGACAGCAGCATGTGCCCCTGGACACATGTGCCCCGGCTTTGCAAAAGACCAGACCAAACCCTGTGCCTTTGGGCCCTCGCTGCTCCAAGTGAGGAGGTGGTTTGTACCCCTGCGGGCCAGCCCCCCGCATCTGCCAGGCACACGCCGCGGCCCAGGTGCTGGGGCTGACCGGCCGCGACGGCTCACTGTGCTCGGGCTCCGCCTCCTTAGGGAGCTGCCCCTCTGGGTCGCTCCTGGTTAATCCAGGATCGTCTCGTTCTCTCTTGGCACAGGTGGATGGCATCCTGAAAACCGTGCTTCGGGACGAGATCATTGCTTGGCACAAAAAAACGCAGGAGGACACCTCTTCTCCTCTCTCGGCCGCCGGCCAGCCCGAGAACATGGACAGCCAGCAGCTGGTCTCCCTGGTGCAGAAGGCCGTCACCGCCATCATGACCCGCCTGCACAACTTGGCCCAGTTCGAAGGCGGGGAGAGCAAAGTGAACACCCTGGTGGCCGCCGCAAACAGCCTGGACAACCTGTGCCGCATGGACCCCGCCTGGCACCCGTGGCTGTGAGCGCGCCCGCCCTGCCGCCCAGAATGGGAAGCACGCCCGCCGGCTGCTGGGCCTCCTCTCTGCTTCACCCACCGTGTTCACGGAGGCCCGACAGCGCGTGTGCGAACGCGGATAAATGGAGTTCTAGAGGAGCTGCCTGTTACGGCGGCAGAGTGGAAACGTCTAGGCTTTTAAAATTCCCTTGTAGGAACCGGGACTCTCCGGTCTGGAATTTCTTTGTGAAACCTTTTTTATCGTACTCCTTCCTGCGTGTGAATGTACAGATGGAACTGAAGGAGACAATTCTATATTGTCCGTTTTTAACTCAGAAATGACACCTCACAGGAGCCTTGTGCTTTTGTACAGACCTTTGTAACAAGTGTACAGAAAACCCACTTTGTTAGAGAAACAGGAAATTATGAACAAGTCGAGCTGGTTTTTCTCTAAGCACAGACTTTTATGCTGTACGTAACTGGCTCCGGGATCTCCTTGCGCGTTGGATGTGGGTCAGCACGGCCTCGTCACCCTGCGGGGACACCGTTCCTCACGCGGTGGATTCAGATCCCGCCGGGAGAAAACTGAGCCCCGGGCGCGGCAGGTGAATCTGAGGCTTTTCATCGGCTGGCTCTTCGGACGCCTTCTTGACATTTACTATCATTGTACCAGGAAAAAAACCTTTTCCTTCCTAATTTAAAAAGAAACAGCAAGAAAAGTTTGTCCGTTCACTCCAGTCTGTCATGTTCACATTTTTATAAATATGAGCATTGAGAATGTTCTATCTAAATTTGTACAGTGTGATTTTTTTTTTTTTTTTTAGAATAAATATTTTATAAAAGGATGTGTCTGCTCTTACATGTATGGAAATGCTTGTTTCCTCTGCCTGAGCGTCCCTCAGCCCCTCGGGGACCGAACCCCCTGGGCCAACACAGCCGTGCTTCAGGGTGGCTTCCTGGGGATGGACAGACAGGTGATGCCTGGGAGGGTCTTGGCTTGGAACTTGGGGGTCCAGACCCACGCTCAGCGTCTTCTGTGATGGCGATGAGGCTGGTCCTGACTCTGACGGTGTGAGACATGTCTGGGAATCTGGTCCCTTTCAGCTTGGTTTCCCCACCTCAGGGCGGCTGCCAAGGGACCTGTGTACGCAGGGGGGAGGCGGCCCCGCCCCACCAGCGTGGTGTCCTTCCCCCTGTGCATCCGTCATCCTGTGGGATGGGGGTGGACGGTGCAGAATGGAGGGGGAGGCAGTTCCTGAGCACGCGGTGTAACTCATGTCCGAGGATGAGAAACGGCGAAGCAGGACTGGGGAGGGACGGCAGTTGCTGCTTTAATTGTAAAATGAGGATTCTGAATTTTAAGGACTCACTCCATTGGGAAGCGCTTCGTCTGCTGTGAGGACAGCTTCACCCAAGTCAGGGCCTGGTCAGCAAGACCCCTTCCAGGGCCAGAACTCCAAGCCCTTCCCAGGCATCACCTTTCTTTTACTCCTCGTTGTGCCCCGTTGTCCCCAGGCGAGCACAGAGGGGAAGCCTGCAGCTGATTTCATGCAGTCTCACCACGAAGTCCAGTCCCAGGCATGTAAACCAGTGTGCCGTAAGAAGTGTAGACGATCGTGGGGGCTCCGGTTTGTGTGGGTGGCCGCAGGTGGGGCCGTTATACTGGGCGTTTGTCCTCAGAGGCAGATGGGTCCGTGAGCCCCGAGGGGGTGGCCCTCAGAGGACGGGTTTCCAGCTCAGAGTGGGGAGTAGCCCTTGGAGAGTCGGCCGGGGGGTGTGGTGGCTGCAGACGTGTGTGGATGGTGTTCGGAGAAGGGAAGTTGGTGTACTGAGGGCCCTGGGTTCTGTGCCAGGCTCACGACACCGTGCCCTCCGTGCTGCCCCTGGTTTCTAGGAAAGCCAGCCCTCGAACAGGCAGGAGGGTGTTCCTAGGCGGAGCTCCAGCTGGAAAGATCAGGGACCTGGAGTTGGGAGGCCAGAGCACGGGCTTGTTTATGGGGGCCACACGTGACGGGTACCCCTTGTTCTCCAAGCACTATTGCAAGGTAAGTGCTGTTATTAGCCGCTTATTAATTATCGGAAAATAAACATAAAATTCACCATTTTAACCACTTCTGAGTGTCCAGTTCAGGGACATAAAGTACATTCACATTGTCGTGTAACCCCCACCACCGGCGGTCTCCAGAACTTCCTTCATCTTGCCAAACTGAAACTCTGCACCCGTTAAACACTGACCCCCAGCCCCCAGCCCCCACCCTTGTACTTTGTCTCTGGATGTGTCTAGAAATTTCCTGTAAGTAGAACCACATGGTATTTGTCCCGTGCCCGGCTTCCTTCCCTCAGCATATACATCAAGGTGCTTCTGTGTCATGGCAGGTGTAAGAATTCCCTTTTTAAGGCTGGATGATATCGTGTTGCATGGATATACCGGTGTTTTGTTTGTTCGTCCGTCTACGGACGCCTGGATTGCTCCCGTCTTCTGGTTACTGTGAATGACGCTGCCGTGCACGTCGGTGTGCAAATACCTGCGGGACCCCCGGCGTTCGGGTCTTCCAGGACTACCCACAGAAGCGGAGTTGCTGGACCAAATGGTAATTCTGTTTTTAATTTTTTGAACGACTGCCGTGTAGTTTTCCGTAGCTACCGCGCCACTTTAAACCCTCGCCATTGGTGTGTGTACATGTGTTCCGGTTTCTCCCCGTCCTCGTCGACACTTGTTCCTTTGTTGTAATAACCATCCTAGGAGTGTAGAGTGGCGTCCATCTCCTTTGTGGCTTCGGTTTGCATTTCCCTTTGTGACTAGTGACTCTGAGCATCTTTTCACGAGCTTCCTGACCACTTGTGTATCTTCTTTGGAGAAACGTCTCTTCACGTCTTTTGTCCGTTTCTTAATTGTGCTGTTTGGGTCTTTTTTTTAAGTTGTAGGAGTTCTTTCTATGTTCTGGATACTGACCTCCTTTTTTATATATTTATTTTGAGAGTGAGCATGGGAGTAAGGAAGGGGCAGAGAGAGAGGGAGAGAGCGAATGCCAAGCAGGCTCTGCACGGTCAGCACAGAGCCTGATGTGGGGCTCAGTCCCACAACCATGAGATCACGACCTGAGCTGAAATCAAGAGTTAGACTGAACCACCCAGGTGCCGCTGGATGCTAACCTCTTATCAGATAGATGATTTACTATTTTCGCCCACTTTGTGGGCTGTCCTTTCATTCTGTTGATAGTGCCCCTTCATGCAGAAGTTTTAAATTTTGATGTAGTCTGATTTATCTGGTTTTCTTTTGTTGTCTGATCCATTGTGAGTTAATTTTTATATATGGTATAAAGGGTTCATGAGGGTTCAACCTCATTCTTTTGCATGTGGATATCCAGTTTTCCAAGTGCCATTTGTTGAAAGACTGCCTTTTCCCCCATGGAATGCTTGATTTGACCATATAAGAGGGGGCTTGTTTATAGGTTCTGTGTTCTATTCCATTGGTCTGTATGTCTGGATTGATTGATTGATTAATTGATTATAATCTCTGCACCCAACATGGGGCTCAAACACTTGAGATCAAAAGTCTCACGTTCTTCCCACTGAGTCAGCTGCGTACCCACTATATATGTCTGTATGTCAACACCAAACTATGATTATTGCTACAGCCTTGTCATATGTTTTGAAATCAGGAAGTGTGAGACCTCCAACAGTGTTCGTTTTTAAGGTTGTTTTGGCTAGTTGGGGGGTCCCTGAGGTTCCATATTAATTTTAGGGTAGATTTTTCTATTTTTGGATTTTTGTAGGAGTTGCTTTGAATCTGTAGATCATTCTGGATGGCAAAGACACCTTAGCAATATTAAGTCTTCCAATCCATGAACCTGAATGCCTTTCCATTTATTTTGTGTCTTCTTCAATTTCTTTCAGTTTATAATTGTATAGTTTTGAGTGTATAAGTGTTTTGTTTTCATGGTTAAGTTTATTCCTATTTTATTCATTTTGATGCTACTACAAATGGAATTGTTTTCTTACTTTTCTCTTCCGGTTGTTCATTGTTCGCCTGTAGAAACACAACTGATCTTTGTGTGTTGACTTTGTATCCTACAGCTTCAGTGAATTCGCTTTTTTATTTTTATTTTTATTTATTTAAAAAAATTTTTTTTTTCAACGTTTATTTATTTTTTGGGGGACAGAGACAGAGCATGAATGGGGGAGGGGCAGAGAGAGAGGGAGACACAGAATCGGAAACAGGCTCTAGGCTCCGAGCCATCAGCCCAGAGCCCGACGCGGGGCTCGAACTCACGGACTGCGAGATCGTGACCTGGCTGAAGTCAGACGCTTAACCGACTGTGCCACCCAGGCGCCCCTGAATTCGCTTTTTTAGTTCCAACAGTCTTTTTGTTCGTTTTTATCAGGAAGAAAAGACATTTCTTCCAAGATGGTGTTGGCATAAATTTTCTTAGGGGGAAAACCGTTTTAGTTGCCAAACAAACATGGTAAAAAGTCTGAAAAGATAGGTAGCTTTAGTTTAGATGCGGGAGAATAAGCTTGCAAAGGTGACGGGGGCACTTTAGGAGGGGAAACGAGTATTTTGATGGACACTTGGGCCCCTCTGGTGAATGAACCAGCTAACGGGCTGGAGGGGAGAAAAGGGTGAAAACCAGGGGGTGACAAACACTAGCTTATGAACGTCTATGAGTTGGTGCTGAAATTTTTGCCCGTCAGTAGAAAAGTGAGAAAAATTAATGCATCAAAGTTGAGGTTTCTTATGGATAATCAACCATAGTCTTTTATCTTGAAAAGTTGTGCTGTTAAAATGTCCTTATGAAATGAAATGCTAGTGTTACAGATAATTGTTACTAATTTTTTATGTCATCTCTGACAAACTAAAGAATTAATATATACCAGCCTAGGGGCGCCTGAGTGGCTCAGTCGGTTGAGCGTCTAATTTCGGCTCAGGTCATGGTCTCATGGTCTGTGAGTTCAGGCCCCACATTGGGCTCTGTGCTGACAGCCTGGAGCCTGCTTCGGATTCTTTGTCTCCCTCTCTCTCTGCCC